AATAATTACAAAATTAAAAACAAAAGATCAAACTAGGCACCAAATTCTCCATTGTGTGATGATGTCCCCTCCGAGGAACCTCATAAATTCCCGGATGATTTCTTGTATATATAATATCGTTAATACCCTCACTACTCATTTTACGTGAAGTGGCGTAATACTCCATGTGAAAAACGCGATATGAAGTTATTCAAAAATACTTCGCGATTTACACTGGAGAAATCACCACAATTCACTTGAAAAACATTTCGTGTTTTACGCGACATAAAATGTAGAATATGTTTCTCACTAGTGTTTTTCATATCACTAGCCCTTCTCGGAGAAGGGGCAGAGCTCGCGTCAATCGCACAAAAACGATTGACTCGATCGAACTCTCGCACCGAAAATAGATGGCGCAAACCGGTAGCTTTCGATTGGTCGCTCATGCGTTCTCATAACTGTTCTCGATCGGGCTAGACAATTACATACGCACGCACGCACAAACTTATCGTGAATACGCTCCGCTCGCTCCACAACTGGGGTGAAACTCTACTATAATGCGACCATAGTTTAAACACATATTTCGAAATACATATATAAACTCCGAAATTTCAATATCGATTTAAAAATTTTTAAATTTTTCATACCAACCGAAAATTTTCATCAAAAATTCCCCAAAAAATCCAAAATTCACGTCAGAAAATTCATCAAAACCCATAATTTTTCTTGAAAATAAGACCTACGGTGAAAATTGAACGCGAGCACGTCGCTTCTTGCTGGTACTAGCCGACGACGATGCAATACACGGAATGGGTGGCCTGAAATCAGAAAACAAAATTAAATTTTGGTAATCGAAATCATGAGATAAGCCCACGAGATCGACCAGAGGAATATCTTTAGGTTGACCGAGTAAGATACAGTTCATGCCCAATCTCGATCGCGCAGAATTCATACAGATCTTGAGGCAAATTCATAGGCAATTACTATTTCGTGATAATTGTATTTTATAATTTATATTAAAATTAAATACCATAAAAACCACAACATTACTTTCAATAAAATCAATGATATATTCAACAGTGATGCGGAGTACTCATTCACTTCACATACTCCAAAAATTTTCCCAGTGAACTATTATAGTATTAATAAATAGTAGTATTAATGAATAGTAGTATTAATAAATAGTAGTATTAAAAAACTAGTAGTATTAATAAATAGTAGTATTAATAAATAGTAGTATTAATAAATAGTAGTATTAATAAATAGTAGTATTAAAAAAATAGTAGTATTAATGAATAGTAGTATTAATAAATAGTAGTATTAATAAATAGTAGTACTAAAAAAATAGTAGTATTAATAAATAGTAGTATTAACAAATAGTAGTATTAATAAATAGTAGTATTAATAAATAGTAGTATTAATAAATAATAGTATTAGTACAATGGAGTTTCACCACCCGTTTTACGCGAAGTGGCGTAATACTCCATGTGAAAAACGTGATATTCGCGAAGTGAAATGTGAAATGTGTTTTTTACTAGTCTTTTTCATATCACGGGTGAAACTCCAATAATTACTATATAATGATACTTTTATTATTTTATTATAGTAGTATTAATACTAATACTATTATCGATACATACGAACATAACAATAAAACGGTTACATCATAAAATCGATTCCCAATAGGAATATAAAACTACCACGGCGGAGATGAAAAACAAGATTAAAACCAACAAATGTTTATTATAAAAATTCGCAGTATATAAGAGATTCAAATCGTGCCCCCGCGGACCTCGACGAAGCAGGTTCCTCAGCCTTAGAAGATGCATCTGATGATTCCGGATCCACCGGAGCATCTCCCTCCTTCCTCACTGGGCAAATACTAACAACAACATTGGAGTGTCACCACCCTAGTGATGTGAAAATTATATTCCTCCAATATCGCCTTTTTCACCCAGTTTTACGCAGTAAATGAACATCATTTTTAACGCTATATATATTCCATTACTACTATATATACACTAATACCATCACCCTCATTTCAGGAGCGATCAAACACGAACAAAACGCATTCCGACGATTATTATATATTCCAATACCGTAAATCCGTCACCTTACGCTCTCTCCGAACGAATCACACACAACCAGTTACACCAGTTATTAATTATAAATTTCACCAACTCATAGTCGTCTTGTATCGCATCCACAATAGTATGATTAATAACAGCAATCGCTCTTCAAAAAAGAGGTATATTTTCTGATACCGTAAACCCGTCATCGCTCTTTCATGGCAAACACTTTATATACGTAGTACACCGGATGAATTAGAAACTGTTATTATCAACAAACTATGCAAGATGAGTGTTAAAGTATTTTCTCGCTTTCCTCAGCTGAGCTCATGCACTACTCCACGAATACAATTAATAACAATCTCCCAAATTTTCTCAGAATTTTCATATTCTCGCCAACGTATGCAGTTGTCCTTGCAGTGATAACGATTATTATATTTTCCAATACCGTAAATCCATCACTTCCATCTC